TAAAGTGAATCCCTGAAATTTCATAGAATATATTTTCTCAGTTATGACTTTCATTTGCCTCACCAAGGGTGCCAGTGTAGTTGTGTTTGATTGCTTATCTGGCACCTTTAGTGTGATGACACTGTTACATAAAGGGAACATTGTTCAGTTCTATGGAATGACTGGGTCATGTAGAGTCCTCCAGTCTAGCTCATCAAAGTGCAAGAGAGTTAACAGAGATAAGGGAGAAGATTTTAAGCATGTATGTCAGTATCAGATCAGAGTCCTTACCTGTTCTTTAGCTTTGAGAGCCTACTGAGCCATGGTTGCCTGCATGCATATGTGTGTGTGTGTGTGTGTGTGTGTGTGTGTGTGAGATGTGTGTATATCCCAAAACATTTCCAACACAGAAAATAAGTTATTACTTACCATTCTGGTAGTTGATTATTTGGGCTCTAGATTAACATTCCTAAAGTAAAATATACTGTACTCTTAATTAAAATTGGTTACTAAGCCAGCCCACATAGGCAAACTTAGTCCCAATAGACTATAATGTTATATGATATGATTGTGTATATGGCTTTTAGGTCCTGTGGAAAGAAAACCATGAAAAACAGTGGGAAAAGATAGAAGACATTCATTTCTGTCTTGGGTTTAGAAAAAAAATTTCCATCCTACTTATTGATTTCCCTTATAAATCTACTTCTTTGCCTAATATTAACTTGCTAATCCACATTATTGAAGAGTAGTATGACCCAACTTTATTGTAAGCTGCAATGGGATCCATGTTCCAGAATTACTGAGTTTGCACTAACATTTATAGACTCCATTCACAGGTAAATTTGGGGATGTTTTAAGTTTGGATTGATGGACTACCATGTTGGTAGATCAGCTGTGTCCAAGGTTGGTTCCCCGAAGCTGTTCAGCTTCTACACCTCCTTTTCTCCATTTCTAAGTGCACAGACAAACTAATGGACTTTAACTTTCATCAGGAAGTTCTTTTGGTGGCATAGCTTGGCTGGCTTCTGAGGGTAGAGAGAATGGGTTAGGGTAAGTGTTCATATTTGGGGATCATCTGTAAACTGAGTTTTAGTGGAACTGGCTCCATCAAATAACCATGATCTTCTCAGTTAGCAGAGACTGTTATTAGAGAACATCAGTAGTTTTACTCAGGGACACATTAGAGATTCCAGGAATGCTAAGAATCAGTGTTTAGGGAAAGGGAGAAAAGGGGTAGGGATGCTGAATGGCCTCAGGGCTGTAGCTCTCTGGTCTACCCCAGTTCCTTCTCTTTCACAACACCAACTCACACACACTCCCATCTGAGCAATTTCCTGGCTGTGTACATCAGATTTCCGTATTATTTTATTTGACAGCAGGGTTCCATTGCTTCAAAACATTTGAGAAGCACTAGATAAGATGATATTCAGGGTTCTTTCCAAATATGAGGCTCAATGTCTTAACATGAACTTAAAACTTGTTAAATTTAACCATTGAAAAATATATATTTGACAACTCCCAGTGCAGAGGAGGCTTCCAGGTCGACATGCTACAGCTCCCAGTGCAGAGGAGGCTTCTGGATCAACGTGCCACAGCTCCAAGTGCAGAGTAGGAGACTTCCGGGCCAACCTACCCCAGCACCCAGCACAGAGGAGGTGAGCCATGCGGCCACCAGCAGCACCCCACCACCACCCCACATGTTGAAATGAGAATATAAGCAAACAAGCCTCAGAACCAGATTTCCAGATCACTTAAAACAACCCCAAAGGGAAATGAGATGGAACACTGTGGTACTCAACCACCTGGACTCCCTAAATGAGCAACAAAAGAGGATTTGGAAAAAACGAAATCAGAAATAATTTCTCACATAAAAGCAGAGATTGTGCCCATAGTGCAAGACATGATTAATACATCTAGAGAGGATACACATAAAACTTATAGGAGCTGACGAATATGATGGCATCTCAACATAGGAAACAGATGGGATCCATAAAACAGATGCAAACAGATTTCCAGAAGATTAAAAACTCCATTGAAAGTCTATGCAGCAGAATGAACCAATGTGAGGACAGAACTTCAGATATAGAAGATAAGATTGCAATTAGTGACCAGGAAAAGAAAAATTGTTTTAAAATTATATGACCATGAGAAATCAACCCAGCAGCTGCTAGACAATGCAAAGAAGAATAACATAAGACTGATTGGAGTCAATGAAGAAAGACGAGAGTGTGCAGATGACATAAAAAAACTGTTCACAGAAGTGATGGGAGAAAACTTCCCAAGCAGGGGAAAAGAACTTGACATACAGATAAATGAGGCATATAGGACCCCAACTAGCCTTGATCAAAAAAATCTACACATAGCCATATAATCCTTAGGATTCCAGAAACCTAACAAAAGAACAAAATTCTACAAGCAGTCAGAGAAAAGAAACAAATCACGTACAAAGGGAAGCCCATCAGAATCACAGCAGATTTCTCAGTGCAAATCTTCAAGGCAAGAAGAGTTTGGAGTGAAGTATTTCAAGCCCTAAAAGAATACAGCCTCAAACCCAGATTGATGTACCCTGCAAAACTATCTTTCAAAATTGATGGAGAAATAAGATACTTTCATGATAAAGAGCACCTCAGGAAC